AAATCGAAGAAATCAATCTGAAAGACTAGTGAGAAATATATGACAACAATTAGACATACGGGCCTAATCGATAGCAAATGCTGCTTATTATTACCAATAGAATGTCCCAGAAATGAACTACACAAACGAAAATTATATTTTTCCATTATAGTTATATTGAATGAGCCACTCTTTATTCTTGTGATAGAGGACACCTATATGGATACAACAGTAACGGCGAACCGATGGCCAATGAGGTCGGGGAGACTAGTAAATAGTGTACAGGTGGTACGGAGAACAAGTGGCATCGGTACACCGACCAAATTTTAGTGAGTCTCTATTTCAGTAGTACGTAACACATACTTGAAACTTGTGCATTCATTTTTTCATTCAGTAGTAGTCTATTTAAAATTACAACGATTTCCTCAAATGTTCGCAGCAGATTTGTGACATCACAGAAAATCCAGTCAGCGAAACTCTAGAAATCGACGGCGATGATTGGTGTATAGGAATCAGTCGATGCTGCAAGCTCTAAGCCGTCCACATAATAGTACTAACCGGTCATCATCATAAGTTGCCCGTGTTCCAATTGACATTATTGGTTTTAAAGTGTGAGAGTGAACCTATATAACTAAGTAAGCGATGCTAGAGCAGATGAAACATTTCTTTCATTCACAAATGTAATGATCATGCTAGGAATACGGTCGGTGAGAGCATGAAAGCTTGGTGTGGGGGCCAGAGGATAGGTAGCGTCAAGTTTAATGTGCCATAACGTTCCCGAATAATGGTAGAAACTGGGCTTCACCATAGGTTCATGATGCCCTAAATGGCATTATAGACATCAAAAGTCACTTTTAAAGTTCTTCTCTTAAGTACACGATCCTAGGATATATGAAATATCTTCTCACACCTGAATGCAATGACGAGGTTAACAATACGGTCAGTTTATGGACAGCATCTAGTGCCTTGAGACTTGAAGTGTTCGAATAATAATTGAAACTGGCCATTACGATAGACTCCATGTCCTAATCAGCTCTATTGACCTTACTAGTGTTGGTTGAGACCGTTTTCCCACGTTATTTGTATAAGCATGTTTTACATTTTGATATTGTTACGCTAGCAAGTGTCAGCTACCTGAAAATAACCGTGCTGGCTGTTACATGCATGCGCCTATTATCTTAATGGTCAAGTAGCTGCTGCATAGGAACAACTTACATTGTGTCAGAAATTTGATCAAACATCATAGTAACTACATGTCCACGTACTCAATGTACACTTTTTGATTATGGACCTTTGCGAATGAGTTGTAATTGGAACCAATGCAACTGAATTAACTTCAATCATAGTACGTCATGGCCAGTGCTTACTAGAGACCGAAAACGAACTGAATCGAACCGAATCCGAACTTATTTAGAAAAAAAAAAACAAAGTCGCAGCAAGCCGAACTCGATAAATTTCTTGATAAGTGGTTTTCAGCTGAGCCGAGCAAGAACTAATTTTAGAAAAATAATGACTTTATGCAAACATAAAACAGATTGATTGAACTATTATTTTCCTGATTGTGCTGGTATGCGCAATCATCAAAAAATGAGTGATCGGTTTCTTTCTAATACACTTTATTTTCATATAAAGTTGGACTTTCTCTTAATACAATTACATTAATTGTGTTTATGACAATCAGTCGCATGAGCCATGTAATTTAATTCAATTTTTTGCTTCATTATTGCTTTTTCTTAAAGCAAGAAACATACTCGTCTAATTAACAACACGATATCATTTTGAAAGTAATTATGCTATTGCCATTTTCTCTTCACTCATATCTCGTAGTTATCATATATTAATATTCTAATACGTTATTCAATCCTATTTGTCCTTTAAATATGTTGTCAACTGATTCTTCGATTTGTCATTCATCAATTGAAATTTCATCACTACAATCTATTTCGATTTCATCATTAGATCATACTTCGAAGTACATGACCCTATAACAAAAATATTAATGAAAATTCTGAAGTTATTCCAAGTCAGAACGAACATGTGAAAGCAGCATTCTGAAAGGCAATGAGTATTGACTTTCTAGCCCAAAAATTACATGATAACAATGAATTTACTGTGATTCGTTGTTTGATATCATGGTTGAAATCAGAGACAGAAAACGAACCGAACCGAACTCAAACTAGTAAAAATTGGTTTGTTTCGGTTTCTGGCGCGTACGGTGCGCCGTACACCGGTGGCGGTGCATCGATGCTACGGTGAACTGGTCGACAGGTGAATCGATGAACCATCGTCACCGTTCCATCTCTAGACATCACTAACTTTTTATTCACAAATAAAAGTTCTTAAACACTTCCATATAGGTACATTGACAGTCGGAATGGTATAAAAAAAGTCGAAACCAAAAACGTCGAAATGAAACAGGTCTAAAAAAACCGCTCAATGCTGAAAATGCCAAAAAAAGATGAAAAAAAGGTCAAAATGAAAAAAGTCGAAGATTTTAGAACAAGAGTTTTAATTATTCACTAGTAAACAACTTTATTCAATTATTGAAAAGAGAAACTTTTTTAAAATTCAGACTTACAAGAGAACATTCCCAGGTGTCGGAACGCTTTTCAGTCGGAGTTTCATGCATCTTGTAGCCCTTAGCGAGGGTGGGTGTGGGTGTGGGTGTGGGTGTGGGTGGGTGTGAGTGTGGGTGNCCTGATTCATTTTTATACCTAAATTTCACATTTCATAACTCCTGCTAGAAGCAACTTGGGCACGAACTAACTTAGGGTATATCACTCCTAGCTATGCCCTATCTAACCATCATATCCCCGACTGAAAAGCTTTTTGACACCTCGGGTGGTTCCCTCGTAAGACCATTGTAAAAGATGGTACGATATAATTCATATTGCCGATTTTTCAAATAAGTTTGAGTCATCGACACAGAAGAGAGTCGATGGTGAAAACGAACATTTGAAGAGGATAAATAATTGCTGAAGTAGTCACGAGTCTGTTTTGATGATGAATTGATTTGGTTAATGAAGATCCTAAATGATTTTAAGAAGCTGTTGTTATTGAGCTTGAGCCAGCTGTTGTGTAAAAGCTGAAGATTGTAACAAATCTCTGTAGCTGGTTGACCCGAATCGTGGATTGTTCGAGTAAGTGTGCCTTGAAATTATAAAGATTTCGAGAAAAAAATTCATCTAATTTTTTATCAAATATTAAAACTCTTCTTTATTTTTAAATTGAAACATGTGAATTTCCGTAGATTTTTTTGTGAATGATCTTCAGATATTGAAAAAAATCAATAAAGATTTTGGAACTTTCGCTTAGAAACAAGATAACTTTACTGGCAATGTGAGTACCATCTAAAGATGATACTTATAAAAGACCATGGATCGCAAAACCAGAAGAAAAATCAACCAGATTGATAGTGTAATCGTATTGCTCCCAACGATATTTAGAAATATCATAGTTTGTAAGCAGTATACTTTTTACAATTTTTTTACCTTGTACTTTATCTAAGTTATTCTAATGATAAGGACTTGATTTCTATCCTTTTTAAATGAGTAAAAGTCGGTTAAATACCTTAATGAATATATTTTGTCAATATCATAAGAACATGCATACATACCAATAAGCGACTCGAAATTAAAAGCAGAATAGTTCATAAGTGGACCATATTCGCGAACAGATGAGGCAACATGTACAACTGAATGTACAACGGAGACGATATGTCTTTTCTAGTCGAGTTAAATTTTCCATTTATGTAATTTTTTTAAAAATTAATCGACTGCTTACAGTGTACAAGTGTTCAAATTCTTGGTCAAAGTATTTGAGTAAAAGTTCAATTTTCTTTACCATTTCTTCATTAATACTTCGAGCTTCTGCTAAATGAAGACCAAACGCTAGCGCTTTCAAGTGCTTGTATTCATTCTTGCTCAATATAGGTTCAAAACAACTAAACAAGCATACAAAGAAAATACTTTTTTAAACAAATGTAGCCAAATTAGCACTCACTTATAACCCATTAAAAGACACAATCTCAGTTCATTTCCTTTGTATTGGTTAAAATGATGAAGGTGTCTTGGCACTCGATATGTTGACATTGGAAAGAGGATAGAATTAAAATTTTTTTCAACCTCTCTCCTATCACTATTAAAAGTCATCCTATTTCTTGCTTTTTTTCTATTAAATGATGACCTTAGCCAAATTTTCAGCAGTCGGAACTATAAGTGAGAAAAATAAATATCAACAACTGAGATTCCAATTTATATCACATTTTATCCATAGTTAACAAAATGTAAGTCTTGCGTTGTACAAAAAAGTATGCAAACTTCCGTTATAATTTATTTATGGAGTCAAGAATTAAAAACAGATTAACTAGAATAAGGTATAAACTAAAATTTTTTTAAAATCTTTTTGAATTATTAAGAGTATAACTTATGTTAGTGTGATCATTGATTAATTTTAATATTATACAATGTCTTCTCTACAATATTCACTTATTAAACAGAATAAATTATCTAGATTGGAAAATCATTATCAGCATGATAATTCTAATAATTAAGTATATATATAGAGATCATTAATTTAAAATGATGACTTGCCGAATGAGTTTTTTAAAATGTAAAGAAAAAACTGTTACTTTCGTTCTTTCAAATAGAAATGATTGTATACTAAAAAGAAATATTTAACAACTTACAAAAGCTCCACCATATAAGTTATGCAGCGAGTCAGTTAAAAAGGAGCATCCCATATCTAAAAAACAAAGTTTTCTTAATGCACAGGGACCAATTTGTCCCTTCGCTTTATCTTTTTTAGACGTTGTTAACGAATTTCGCCTTTTATTTTTCTTTGTATTCTAATATAATAGAGAAGTCTACATAAGAAGCATAAAAATTTTATGTTTACTGTATTTAAGATTTTCATAGATTTATCATAAGTTTTGTTTGGACGAAGATCAGGCGGATTGTTTTGATCTAACGGAAAACATCGAATATATCCTTTTCCGGCTGGTACATTTTCACCTAGATATATCAAAATTTACAATTTTTTTCCAAAATAGAATAAATGATTGAATATGTTTTCATTTTCTTACCCACAACCAAACATTTGCCACATCCATAATAACCTCCACTATCAGTCATATTTTGTAACATCGATTGTGCTGGTTTATCCGCTACGATTCCGAGTAAATAGACAGCAACACGAGTAATGGTATTTGATGAAAAACCAATACCAACCGATGATGGCAAATATACATCAATCCCATGTTCTAATTCAATAAGTTCATCAACTAGCCTAGCCAGCAGTGGTGCAAATTCAGCTCGCTTTGGTTTTTGTGAACCATACGAAATCATTCCAATAACCAAATTCGGTAATTCAAAACGAATATTTCGTGGAATTTCATTAATAACGAATGAAGTTATCCATAGTGAACGAGAAATCTTCCGAATTACCACACCGTCAGAGTTAAGCATTAAAGTAATAAATGGTTTTTTATTAACTGCATGAATACGCGCATGAGCAATACTATCGACAACATCTGCAACCTGAGCACCAGTTGCAACTGAATATTTCAACGGTACCCGTTGTAAAATAGATCTAATTTGTTTAACAACTTTAAAGGTGTAGTTGACCGTTGGTGCTCGAACATATCCAACATGAGAAATGCAACTTTTAACCGAACATTTATCCATATTTGTACTAACTTCATTACATGTGGGACATACAATAGCCAATGTTAGGGTAAATATTGAATTTCCAGACGGATTAATCAAATTATAAATACCTCTATAATCAGCTGGTACATCTTTTACGCCAAGTAAACGCAATAAACGACAAAGATCTGTGATACATGACTTTGATAGTAAATGCCTATGTCGAAATAATGAAAGAAGCACGGCAATTTCTAAATTCGTATGTGTACGGTAATGATTAGAATTTGTTTCATCTTCGTCTTCTAAACTTTTAGTAGAATCATTTGATGATGATGATGACGATGGTGATGTTGATGGTGATTTGTGGTTTTTATGATCACTTTGATTTTCATTACCTTCCAACTCGTCACTACTACTATATAAATCATCAACGTTGTATTCTCCTTCAGAAGCTATTGATTGTCAATCAGTATCATTATCATGGAACTCTTGTGAATAAAATGAAATCGTATTTTGCTGTTGAATACTACTAACATTTTTATCGAGGCTATTCGAATATTTTAAGCTTGAATCTGTATAAGATATAGGTGGTGATGTAGTATGGTGATTGCTATTCCAAACAGCCTTAGAGTTTAAACCTTTAATACTCCGATGATAAGCTAAAATCGCATCTAAGCTGTAATTTGTAACCAGTGGTTGATGAAAAGTATGATGAATAACTTCTGTCGTTATTGAATCCATTGATGAACTTAAAAAATAATATTTATGTAACACAGTTTTTAAATATCCATATCTACCTATTGTGTTTTATCGAAACAAGCTTTTTCATTCTTTTTTTTAATGAAAAAGTTCTCTGTGAACGACGAGAGAAACTTTTAAGAGTATATGTATTTGTATTGATCTTCATTACTTACGCTTAACGTACTTAATGAAGAAGTATGCTTGTAGAAATCACACGATTATCTATTTAAAGAAAATGATATCTATTAATTTATTTTTCAATTTTTCTCGTGTAAAGTTATGAAGAAAATAAATATTAGAACAATCGATTCTTTAATATAATAAATATTAAAGGAAAGAGTATAAACAAGTGTTTCAATATTCCAGCATAGAAAAAAAAGTACATTTAATATAAATACAATAAAAAAGAAATGGAAAAACCATATTTGCACTCATATACATACGAAAGAGAGAAGAGAATATACTAATTGAGAAAAAAAGTATACAATCATCGAGAAGAAAAACCATAGATAACATGTGAAGCCATTCTCCAGAAAAATTTCCTCATAGTTACATTATTCTTCATCCATTCAATGATCCAATTCATCAAATGAACCATGTGAATGAGTGTTATTGTTGTGTTGCACGTGTTGATCTATTGTGATTGTATCCTCGTCGCCTTGTTCGGTATCATTTTCATAATCATTATGAAGATTACCAATTTCTGATAATTTAAGTTCAAAATTTTCGATTTTAACTAGTTGATGCTTAGCTTGACGTATAGACCCGGCTATAGCTTCACGCATTTTTTCAATACAATAATTAGTGGAAGGGTTGCAAGGACGTGAGAAAGCTAAAATGATAAAAAAAAGAGTTTCCATTAGGTTCATTTCATGATAATAATTATTATTCTATATTTAGATTAATCATTTTTTATCCCGTAATGAATGAAATATATCTTTGATATAGATATGATTAATAAAGTTGTGATGAATCTTTTGATACGCTATATGTATTTTAATCAACAAGTCAGAGTGATCACGATCATGTGATTTCTTTTCCAGAATGTATTTTTTCTGTTCTTTTTATCGCGACGACCGTTGCACAAAGGTCATCAGTCATGTGTATTACATAATAATTTTCTTTTTCATTCTGTTGCTTTCGCCTGAACATTATGGAGATAATGGAGAACCTTTCTTTTTCTCTTCCTATCTCTTCTTTCTCCTTTTCTGTGCAAGACTTCGTAACTCCTCCTTTTCGTTCATTTCGATTTTATTTTTCCTAGTGATAAGTTGAACTTCTTGTATCTTCTACGTACGTTTTATTAAAATGAAGAAACTGGCATGCAAATCATCCAAGGTAAGTGTAAAACAGTTTACTTACTCAGTATATCATTTAATAATTTTGAATTATTTTTTGAAAATGACTTGATATTCTTTAGTTCTGCACGATCACGATAGGTCGGATATAATTTTGAGAAAATTTGGAGAGCAGCTCTTTGTGGATTAGGATGACAGCAGTCCATCAATTGGTCTTCGGTTAAGCCAATTGCCTTAGCTAATTCACTTTGAGTACGTAAATCGTGTGCAGTGCTTGATACAGTTAGATTTTCAACTAACTCTAATAGAAATTTTAATCCATCAACGGACGGTCGAGCTATAGAAAATATCATTAATTTATGAGAAATAAAATGGAATTACTTACGAAACGATGTGACGCGATATTTATCAAATTCATCTTTAAGTTTACGATAATCATCGGGCCAAGTAGTACATTTTTGTCGTTCATGTTCAAGTTCTCGTTTTAAATTTCGATATTCAGGAACTGATTCGAGTGTAGATGGATCGATTGATAAATATGAAATAGAAGATTTTCCAGTAGTAACAGTAGATTGACTTAAGCCTTTTAAATTTGAAACGAGTTGAGAATTGATAGAACGTGTTTTTTTTCTAAAGAACAATAGTTCTACCGATTAGAATCAATTAAAACAAGAGTAATTACTCTATTCCACAAACATTTCGGTTAATGTTTGACGATTCAAGATTATTTGTGTGTCGAGCATCACTAAATTACAACAGATAATATTTTTTAGGTTTTGAAAGGAGGCTAATTAGTACATATAGTCTTACTTTCTTTTAAAATAATTAGGCGAGTTTGTTGAAATTGGAGATGATGAAATGGTAGAATATCTAAAGATATTTTTATCAATAAATCTGAATTCGAAAAGAAAAATTATCATTGAATGATATCTTACTGATTCATAATTTTTCGTGTAGTTGTTGATGGTGAGCAATGTTGATCATTATTATGTTCAGGTCGGTTAGGTAGACTAGAAAGTATTAGTTTGCAAAAACGAACGGAATTCTTGTAATTCTTTAAAAAAATATTTTATAAATTAAAAAACTCACGAGCCATAAGATGAAGTAATTCGATTTGTTGTTGGAGTAATTGTTAATGAAGAAGATGAATAATTAGCTTCTTCTTCATTTATATCAAGTACAACTGAACCTGTTTTTGTATTTGATTCATTTGAGCCGCCAATAGCCGGCTGCTTTGCAACTAATGCACAATCTAAACAAAAAGATATGTGATCTAATATATTCGAATTTCTTACCTGATTGAGGTTGAACTGTGCAATCAATTACTAGTGCACCATTGTCATGATCACTCTCGTCATCATCATGAAGATTATTACCATGGTCATTCGATGTAGAAGTAGAAGAATTCGTAATTGATTGAGATTTAGCATTTGAATGTGTTCGTTTATTAGATAATGAATGTGAAATAATAGCTTCTGTTGTGTTTTTCGTAGTACAATTTCTTCTTTTACGTTTTAAAGATGCGCGAGTTACCATTATTAGTTTGCGTAGATAATAAAAAGTGATGGTGATATGGTAATTAAGATTATAGGTCGTGTGAAAATGATGGTTCACTTAATGTTAGAAACTATGATGGAGAATTAGAGAATGGATAAATCGATGAAATAGAAATTAATGATCATTTAACTGCTAGATATCTTGAATATTTATAGTATATACTATCATGTACACAGACCAATAGGGAGCGAAAGGACCCATAACCTCCATTTAATTCTTTGTTACTGTTACATGATGTAACATTCATCATATACATGTTATCCCCTAGATTCAAGCGCAACTTTTTTCACATCGTCCGTATATTCAGTCCAGGTCAGCGATAAAAACAAACGATAAGAGCTTTATACTATCTCTTTATATTATCTCTTCGCTGCGTATCTTCTATTTATTATCTTAAGATGATTTATTTAAAAAAGAAGATAATTAAAACAAAATAAGTTTTTTTTAAATATCGATCGTTCCAATACATAATTATTCATTGTGCGTCATACTAAAATTAAATAAAAGTCACTATTTAAATAACTAAGAAATAAAATTGATCGCTTATAATATAACGAGATTATAGAAATATGAAAATCATATACAGCAATATGAACAAGAAACTACTATTTAGTTGTAAACCAAAAATAATAAAATATCTAACGATCACTAAAAACTATCTAACGATCATTAAAAAAAAAGAAATTTCATTATTAAAATAACAATAAATTCTCATTCATTGGCTTTTTTCATAGTTTAGCATTAGAAATTTATACCGTTTGTAGCGTTTTCTGAATCAACATTAAAACAGTTAGCCACTAAATTATTTTAATGAAAAGTTTATCCATCGTTTTAACGAGTTCTTGGTGAAAGTATTAAAACTGTTTAAGATGTTTGATTAGTCGCCAAAAACGCGTTGAAACGGTGAACTTTCAAACAAACTAAAGCGTTTAATCGAATCCAGTGCGTTAAAAAAAGATTTATTCTTAACTATGATTAACGCGTTTTTAGCGACTAATGAAACAGTTTCAACTGTTTACATTTTGACGTGTTTAAACGCCGTTTTAGGCATTTACGCGTCTGCCTGGGTACGCCGAAAACTCATTGTGCTCCTGAAAAACCTTACACTGATTATAAAATTACAATTTCAAACTTCCATCAATGTCCTAAAGATCAGTATGTCCTCACGTCAATTTAGGCTCGTTAGCTTTGCCACAGCATCGAAATTTTCTCGAAAAAATCAAACACAAAATTTTGAAGAATCTATGTAAGATTCGAATTCCCAGACCCCGAGTTACTTTCGTCAACCTTTTCGGTATGTAAAATCCGACCAAAGATTGGAAATCCTGCCCCCACTCGCTTACCCTTACTAATTTCATTAAAAATGGAAAATGATTAAAATTAGAAAATATCATTTCTGATTGATCGGTTTCCTAGACAATGAGAAGCCCGTATGTAAAATCAAAATCGAAGGTCGGATTGGATGTGGGTTTCTTTTCTTAAACCATACCCACACCCACACCCACCCGCTTCATATAGAGGGAACGAGACAGAAGCTGTAGTCAATGGCTAGGGCCCGCTAGGCATGAAAATTCTTTGTCTCACACACTGCTGGTAGCTATGACGATAATGTTTGTGATTTGATTATCTTTGTTTTCAGATATTTTCAATTTTAATACTAACTTGGCAAGAAAATGGAACATTCAAGCAATAATCAAAATATTCAATTAATAGAATTGAAAAAGAGTTGGTCAAGATATATATTTGGTTATGTTCAAACTCTTAATTTCTACAAGTCAAATTCGAATGATATTTATACAATACGTAAAGAACGATTATCTACTTATCTCTTTATTTGTCTACTATTTATATTCATGATTGGCATAATTATCTATGCAGCAGTTCAATCACGTACTATCAATGTTACGGTTCATAATCCTCCCGAAAACAAATTCAAAAAGATCTATGATAAATATTCTGATACTTTAACATGTCCTTGTTCTCGTGTGAGTGCACAATATAGTGATTTCGCTCATATTCAATTCACTGTTCATGAAGTTTGCAATAGTGAGTTCATCTCACAGGAATGGATTAATGAAATCTATGGCGCTAATGTTTCATTTATTCCACCAAATGATGTTCGAACTATATTAAGTCACTTTTGGCTATTAGTTCGCTCATTCTGTAATTTAACAAATGCCTCTCTTATTGATGCATCCAATGAATTCAATTCAATCAATTTAGTGAGTCTTGTCGCACAATCTCAACAGGTAATAGAAGCAAAAATCAATACGACTCTCAACTTTGCACTTAATTCATCAATGATAAATCTTAAAAATAATCTACTCATTATACATGACACACTTTTGGTCAATGGACCGGTATCACATTTAGGTACCAATTATTTTTTTTATATTAATTCTGAAGTATCATTATCTTATCCACCATTTTACATTGGAATAAATGCTACATCTTTTCCGGATGGTTGTTCTTGTGAGAATCTTAACGGATGTCCACGTTCGGCTGTTATATTTCAATCTAATGAAACGTCCAATTTCGAAAATATACCAGGTATGATGTTCGATTGTTTACCATTAGATGCTGCACTTGCTTCATCATTTGAATGCTTTTATGATGCATGGTGTTTATCATTGATTCAAAATGTGTCGAAGAGTAATATGAGAGTACAACCACTTCATAGTCAAAGTCGTTTCGAGCATAGTACCACTTTAAAGACACTTTTAGACGAACTTATGATTGAACAATTCACGATGGAAATTGTATTTGCATCTTACTATTCCATGTGTAATCCTAAATATTGCACTTATTCATACACTCATAAATTCGACGTACTTTTTATCATTACATTTACGACAAGCGCATTTGGTGGTATTTTAACTGTACTAAAATTTATCGCTCCACTACTGATCCAACTAGCATTTAGGATACATGCATTGAAAAATAGAAATAATTCTCTGGGTGTCAATAATACGAATCAATCCATGAATCTAGGTGAGTTCTTCTGACTTTCTTCAAAAAATTCTTTGAATGTATCAGAATGATTCAAATTTAAGGTTTTACATATGTAGCAGAAATTAATTTCATATGGCAACACGAAATGCCTACATTCACTATGAAACTTTGTTCTCTTTAAATAATTAAGACATTGGCAGATCTCTCACAAGTCGCATTAGAATAACTAATATGCAATGGATCCTCTGCATCTACTGATGTGTGGGTTGTGACACCATTTCACAAGAATAAGCCTGTTCTTTTTTCAAAAAGATTTTCATCAGTCAATATAGAAGCACTACACTTTTTAAAGCTGTCTCTGATTATTAGATATCATCTAATGATAGGATATGTTCTTCGAATAACGAAGGAATGATCGATCAACACGCTTCAATGATGAGAAGATAGAGCATAGTGACTTAAGAAGATATATAAGACTATGAGTGACGTAAGTTATAATTTTTCCAGGAACTTTATTGTTTCTTGCTTTAGGAGTTGACGTTAAAGTAAGAAGAGCTTCGAGAACTTTTTGGATAGTGGTTTTAGAAAGAGATTTTTTGTAGGTTAATCAACTTTGTGAAGATTTAAATATAGCTGAAACGTGTATTAAAAAATCTGACTGATATATTGTAGACACTTTATGAAAGTACCTTTTGTAGTATTTCCATAAATTAAAGAAGTCAATTTGAAAGACTAATGAGAAATATATGGTAACGATTAGATATATGGGTCTAATCGATAACAGATGCTGCTTATTATTATCAACAGAATGTCCCAGGAATGAACTGCATAAAAGAAAATTATATTTTTCTATTACAGTTATATTAACTGAGTCACTCTTTATTCTTGTGATAGAGGACATCTATATGAATGCAACAGTAACGGCGAACCGATGGACTAATGAGGTCGGCGAGACTATTAAATAGTGTACAGGTTGTGTAGATAACAAGTGGCATCGGTACACTGACCAAATTTTAGCGAGTCCCTATTTCAGTAGTACGTAACGCATACTTGAAACTTGTGCATTCATTTTTTTCGTTCAGTAGTAGTCTATTTAAAACTACAAAGATTTCCTCAAATGTTCGCAGCAGATTTGTGACATCACCGAAAATTCAGTCAGCGAAACTCTAGAAATCGACGGTGATGACTGGTGTATAGGAATCAGTCAATGCTGCAAGCTCTAAGCCGTCCACATAATAGTACTAACCGATCGTCATCATAAGTTCCCCGTGTCCCAATCGACATTATTGGTTTCTAAACTGTGAGAGTGAAACTATCTCACTAAGTAAGCGATGCTAGGAATACGGTCGCTGAGAGAATGAAAGCCTGGTGTGGTGGCCAGAGGATAGGCACCGTCGAGTTTAATGTGTCATAACATTCCCAAATAATGCTAGAAACTGGGCTTCACCATAGGTTCGTGATGCCCTAAATGGCATTATGGACATTAAAAGCCATTTTTAAAGTTGTTCTCTTAAGTGCAAGATCCTAGGAGACATGAAACATCTTCTCACACCTGAATCTAATGACGAGGTTAACAACTCGATCAGTGTATGGACAGCGATTAGTGTCTTGGAACTTGAAGTGTTGGAATAATAATTGAAACTGGTCACTACCATAAACTCCATGTTCAAATCAGCTCTATTGACCTTACTAGTGTTGGTTGAGACCATATTTCTACATTATTTATATAAGCATGTTTTACATTTTGATATTGTTACGCTAGCAAGTATCAACTGCCTGAGAATAACCGTGCTGGCTGTTACATGCATGTGCTTATTACCTTAATGGTCAAGTAGCTGCTGCATAGGAATAACTTACACTTTTTCAGAAATGTGATCAAACATCATAGTAACTACATGTCCACGTACTCAATGTACAATTTTTGATTATGGATCTTTGAGAATGAGTTGTAATTGAAACTGATGCAACTGAATTAACTTCAATTATAGTACGTCATGGCCAGTGCTTACTAGAGACTGAAAACGAAC